ATATATATATATCTATATATACAATATATTATATATATATATATGTATGTATATATATATGTATGTATGTATATATATATATCTGTATATATATATATATATATGTATGTATGTATGTATGTGTGTATGTATGTATGTGATGTATATGTATATGTGATGTATATGTATATGTATGTATATGTATGTATATGTATGTATATGTACATATATGTATGTATATGTATGTAAATGAAAGAAACTGAATAATATTAGGGTTAAGAAATTAAATTTATTTGAAAATAAAATAAATTGAGCAAATGACATATTTTTTTTAAGTTCAGTTTCAATATTTTAATTTTAAAGAGATGACGAGAAGATAAAAATGTAACAAAATTTTAACTTTAAAATAAAATTTTAAGTTTTAATTAGTTCAGTTTAAAATAAAACAAATTCTAAATTTTGATTTGCCTAATTAAACAGATTTATATTTTCTTTAGGGTTTAAAAAGTTTAGTTGGCTCTATTTTTATTTTATTTTATTTGACTGATTTATAAATTGATCCCTTCAAATTAACTATTTGCGCACTCCTGCTAATTACTATTATCATGAAGCTTATAAAGTAGAATTTGTGTGAGTGCAAAATATATAATTTAAAATTACTTAAAAATAAAAAATAGAATAAAAAATAAGATTATTTTGCCACGTGTAGATTCTTGATGCATCTAAATTTCATATACATCAATATTATATATATCTGCACTTTATATACATATTATATAATAATTTGTAAAACATGTATATTATTTTTCAAATATATCCAAATAAATCCTGTAATATCTTCTATTTATCTAATTTGTCTTTATTCTCTTATCCAAGTAATACTATAATGTTTTTTCAGTCCTCGTCATCTATAAAAGGGAAACCAAGACACCCCGCGCAAGCCACTTGTCCTTCAGTTGCCTCCTAGCCTAGAAATACTATATTCCGCTCTGATTTTCTCTCTACCGCTGTTCGATAGAAAGGCAAGCAGAAGAGCGATTCTTCTCTGTAGCTTTCATGGCGAAAGACACGGAACTAGGCCAGGCTTCCCGCCATCCACCGCCAATCCTGCCGCCGTCGAGGAGCCGGCGATCGACCGACCCATTTATTGTGATTTGTCGGTGTTTTAGCGTCGTCACCGCCATTAATGCCCTCCTCTGCGTCTGTGCGAACCTACTTTCTGCCATCCGCTCTTTTAGAAACGGCTCCGACGTATGGCCTCGCGATCTAACCTATCTCTGTTTTCATTTTCTAATCTCTGCTTTTCTCTTTGAATTCTTAGATATTTGGCGGCATCTTTCGGTGCTACGCTATCGCACTGGCGATCTTCGTAGCCTTGGTGGAGACAGAATGGGATTTCATACTCAAGTTTTGGAGGGTGGGGATTTTTCTTTTCTTGCTATATCTGAAGCTGATTCTGTTTATAGGTGCTATTGAATTCTGAATGAGTTTTTACTCTTTGATGAATTAGGTATTGGACTACTGGGTAGGCCGCGGGATGCTGCAAATCTTGTATGTGAATGTATTTTACCTTTTCTGATTTGAATGTTTTTTTCTCGACGTTGCATCGCTTCGTGGGGAACGATATGTTCTTGATTTTCTTTGTTTTGTTAAATGTTTCAGTGTTGCTGTGATGACTCGAGCCTTTCCTGATGTCATTTGGGTGCGAAGGGATTTGGTTCTGCTTCAGGAGATTGCTAGCTATCTACTTCTTGCATGTGGAGTGATATATGTCATATCAGTTAAGAATGTTCATCATTTTAGTTTTTCTACGCTAGATTTTTTTGGGGACATTCAAATTGCGCGGTTCTTGTGAAATGATTTCTGTTGTCAGCCTGTTTAAGAAATAGCATCAACTGATCTGAAACTGGGTTGTCTTGATAGAATTTTGTTAGAAGTTTTTGTTAATGTTTAAAATGATCTTTATACTGGTATTAAATAATTCACTGTATATGCATAATATCGTCAGGGTTTGCTCTGCATTGGTTTCTTCAAAAGGGCTCGTCTACAAAGGGAAACATCAAGAGAGAATGCAGCAAAAGATTTGGAGGTAAGAACCACAATAAATTTGCATGAACACTCAATCTATGGGAAAATCAACATTTTCTAGAGTGATTGCAAAATCTTGATTTAATTATGATTTTGAAGGAAGCCATGCTTTATATATATATATATATATATATATAACATCTGTTAAGGATTGTGCCACTCGATAATTCTCAGCTCGCTGAATGTGTTTACCGTTTATTCATGAACTGGCGCTAATCATATAACATATTGCATCGAAATTTCGAAATTGTAATATTTATAACTGAAGAAAGGGAGGTTTATTTTTTGTTTTAACTTCTAGCAAATCGTGACAATAAATACTAAAGAACAATATGGAGAGTACATAAAAATGAAAGAGAAGGTGAAGGTTAAAATGAAAAAAAAGGAGAAAAGCCTCCATTGTATCTTGGCCTCCACGATCAACTCTGTGATCATTGATGCTTGATGATTGATTCATAAATTTTTAAGCAGAAAAATGATTCTATGGTAGCTCATAACATGTAGATTTGTTGCGATGCATGGTGTTTTAGGATATTGTTTTTTAATGCATTTTAATGATACGATGGATGAAATTCAAGCACTCAATTTTTAGAATTCTCACTTAACAAATCACTAATTCAAACAATTCACATATTATTTTGATGTAACAAAGAAAATACACAAAATCCGCATAAACAATAATGTAATGAATATTTCATATTAGATATTATATGAAAATATTGAAATCTTAAAATTCTTGTTTCATTCAAGATTTATCATAACAAAAAGTTCAACTTATAGTAATTTTTTTATAACCAACCATGCTTGCAAAATCAATTACAAAATATGTGGTATAAAAATAATAAGGCAAGAAGAGGTCATCAAATAAAAGATTCAAGCTATTTGTCAAAAATTTATGTACGTAATTAGAATTTGTAGTTCACTAACCATCAGTAGACAATTATTCATCATTCTTTTAGAAAAGCAGAAACACACTAATGCACATAAGTCGTTAATTTAATAATTACCTGAAAGAATTTCTAAATTGATTCTTGATCAAAAGACAACTACACGTCAATTGAAAATTATGATGATATCAAATTATCCAAATTGTACGAGTTTTGATAAAATCGAATCACATATGCATCCAATAATTAAAAATATATAATATGGGAAATTAAGGAAATTCATTGAAAAATAAAAATTCATGTCGGATGTTGGTAATAGAAACATTTTTTTGGAAGTTGATAGTCTCCACTTGCACCAAATTTCACATATAATTACCAATCATAAAGATTAAAAAAAATGCTCAAAATAAATTATTATTGGAATTTATTTTACATGTCCTAGTTTGAAGATATTGTAGTTTAATTTTTCGCTAAAATCACATAAACCAGCCCCATAAAAAAAATTATAGCTTGAATGCATATAGGATCACATCTTGTTTGAGATCATAAAAGCGTTGCAAGCCATAGGGATAAACATGATAAATCACATACAAAACCTACAATTCATGAAAGTAGCAAATAGTAAAATAAATGAGATTTTTTATTCTGGTGGATATTTAGTAACGATGATTGGCTGCAGGAGGCAAAAGCCATCCCTAACTATTTGAATTTAGTGTTTATCTATTTAGTAAATTTAGAATTGGTTTTTTTTTCTTTTGAGAATTAGTTTCTTGATTCTTAGAAGAAATTAGCAACCCTAACCCCACCACTAATACTAAATAGCATCCGACTAAAAGTTTTGAGGTCAACCTATTCTGTAAGTTGGATCACAATAACAAATTCCAGAGGTTTTGAAAGCAAATCGGATGCTCTGGTAGGGACGCTTGGTCAATTCTTGGTCTCACACAATGAAAAACCACGTCATGTTTGGTAATCCTCTTACCCATGCGAGATACGAAGTGCAAGAGCCATTAATCTAGATGACAAAAATTTTGAGAATTTCGAGAATGAGGACAAAATAAATTCATTTGCTGAAGTTTTTGTGGGAGGGTCGTTTATAAAAAGAATTGGCTAGAAATTATACCTTGATCATTCCCCTAATGGTTTTTTATGTATACTTTTTTTTAAAAAACTATTAATTACAAAATTAAAAAAAACTTTGTCTGAATTTCTATCTTAACTAGTGGGATGATGGAGCAATCCATTGTACTTTCTTTTTTATGTTAAGTCTATGATTTTGTGACACTCTTTTCATGTCAAGCACATGAGTCCGTGACTCTTTTATTTTCAGTTTAAAGATATGAATCCGTAGCACTCTTTTTTTCATGTTAAGCATATGAATATGGGGTGCATATTTCTCTTAGTTAACACATGAATTCGTGCGAATTTTTATCAATAAATGTGACAAATCTTTTATCTACAAAATTATTAGGGTTTTATAATGGTCACGGTGTATTAGATAGATTTTCATGAAAGTATAAAATCTATATTTATATTTAAGAAATGTGACGTGTATCAATTTTACAAATCTCACAATAAAATTTTCAGTCAATACTTATAACATAAAATATATTTATAGGATTTTAAAAGGATTTACAGCGTTCCATGTTTATAATATTGATTCAAATGTGTTTTATTTTGAGTATATATGAAGTAGCAGGATAGGTTTTGTTGCCTTCAAGTAGGTATGGTCCATATTTTCTCTAGCTTTTCCCATTACTTTATCTATGGTGAAGTTCTGAAATAAATAATGATTAATAAAAAATATCACCTTGAAGTTGAAGTCGCCATTTTTGATGAGTTTATGAATAGACAATATTTTTTACTAAATTAGGTACTGTTTTAGTTCTTTTTAATTCAGAGTCATCAACTTGTCTAATTTGTGTTTTATAATTCTCTTTTTCAAATAACATTCTTTCTTGGATCATCGAAATGATTTGAAGAAGAAAATGAATTAAAAAGATAAAAAATACAACAAATTCAGACAAACAAAAAGAAAATAATGTGAAGAATTTCTATAAAAATGTTTTCATGTGATAAATTAAAAGTGTATGCACAAAACAAAACCAAGTCAAAAATACTTTAAAAGCATATTCACGAAAAAAATCCTATATAAATTATTCGCATATATAACGAAAGAATTAAAAGTTATATTCTTTTTATGGGGTCAGGAGCAGATCGAGAGCAACTCGCAAAAGAACGTATCATTTTGGTTGATTACATTTTGAAGAATAAAAATATATTTGATTAAAAGAAGCTTACATTTTGATATCTAGTGAAAGGAAATATTAAAGATTAATATTATCTCAAATGGGATCATCCAAATGCTTCAAAGCCATATTGGGTCATAGAGTAGAAGGTGAATCATCCCAAATGGATGTCGGTCTATTGGCTAAGAGAGCCTATGAAATGATATGAACGATGTGTCAAAGAAGTGGAATGGGCCCAAAGAGGGTATATCAATAAACATGTGAGGTATTCTTACGTAGGCAAAGGTAGTCGAGTCAGGATTCAATGGATCCGTTATCCCAAGCAATTAAGACTAAAAAAAAATCTAAGTAGCCCTAAAGTGAATTGAAGGAAACATTTAACTGCTTATGACCTTATTTGGATGGAATTGATATGCATGAAGCTTACACCTGCCAAGAAAATGACAATGAGACATCTATATTGAAAGAGAAAAAATGACCCGGCTACAAAGCTGAACCATCCCACAAATGACTCACAACTAGTCTGGGTTGAGGGAGCATCTCATTTTAGTCATTCCACATATGTAAAGACTCTATTGTTATTCAACCCAAATCTTTCATTTTAGTCACTCACACCTAGTCTGGGTTGAGGGAGCATCTCATTTTAGTCATTCCACATATGTGTAAATATATGCTTGAACAGTCAGTTTGGAAGACAGAGTACTCATTCTTGGGACATGTATATATGATGCAATTATCTAGAGATGTCATTAAGGTGAAGTCTCTATTGTTATGACTCAAGATAAGCTCATTCAATGTGAAGTTTTTTAAATCCGGTTCGAAGGTCATGCAATAAAAATAGAATAGGAAATAAAGTGCTCATTTTATAATGATACAATTTTAATTATAAATATTTTATTATTATGATTTTATAGAAATGATTTTATCCTAAAGAGCCTGTGTAAATGTGATAGAGCTAGACAACCCACAAATATAATAAAGAGAGAATTAAACAATCTGTATAAGTGAAAATAAACACGTCATATGACAAATAAACAAAAGAGATCGAGGTCGTTGGGTCATCAAAATATCCTAAAATGATAAAAAGATTGCGGTTAGGCTCCACATATGCAAACCCGATCTTAATTTCTATACAACAACATGAACTCAGGGCTAAGGTACAATTCATGGTATGCTGCTCCCGGTTCTCACCACGTTGTTCTAAACGTCAAGCATATTGGGAACCCATGCTTGTACCCTATGGACTCTAGGCAAAGTACGTATAAAAGTTTCAAAAAAGACTCGACCTACAATTGAAAGTTAGCATGGTTTATCTCATGCAACGTATAATAAATCATGTCTGATGGAAGGATAGTTAAACATCACATGCGGAAAATGTATCATTTTAAATCATGATGCATCTCTTCATTAGATATAACTTCCTGCAAGAAGATCACCACTAACATACTAATGCACAGATCTCACACCTAGTACAAGTCAAAAGGCAAACACAATAAATGTCTTGTTAGACGCAAACCAAGGAACAATAACTAGACATATGAAAGCTTTTGCCACACCTTACCCTATTCTAGACAAATATTTTATTGATCCTGGGTTAATTTTGAACCATCGTGCCGGTGTAAACTTCTATTGTTAGTAACTTGTGAGACCTCATCTAATTCAAAATAAATATCTAAATCAGCTTCTATTTTTTATTTTAGAAGATGATATAATTCAGGAAACCTGATCATGTTTGGGTTTCATTGAAGGACAACTCATTTTCTCTTTCCTTACTATCTCTTTACCTTGGATAAAAAAAGAACTAATAAGGAGAGGGGCTCGTGTGTGTTCTATTAAATTTGAGGTTGGTAGATACATTTTTTTAGTAAAAACATAATATTCAACGTCATTATAAATGCCCACCCCATTAATAGAGAAATGTTGAACATCACTTGAATTGAAGAAATTTTCTCTTCCACGCGTGTATTTAATGGTGTAAGGTCGAATGTACCATCTCATACTCACGTATTTAGGGGTGTTTAAGCAAAAACTCTAAAGTATGTATTCTCATGAATAATATGAGATTTGGCTTCACTCTTAAACTCTCCAAATTGAAGAAGAAGCGTTATAAAATCTAAAGTTTTTTGACATTTCTCATTGAAGTTAAACGTGATCCTATCCAAGCATAACCTCGTTGAATTTAAGGAAATTAGTTCAAGGGTACAAAATATTTATAGAAGCACCAGGATCAACAAGTATACAGTTCAAGGAGTCCCGTATATCATAGTCGTCACATACATAGACGGTTATGATCCATAGTGCCCAATAATAGATTTTCTTCAAAGAAAGTGGCGACTATGTCATGCGAGATACAATCGTCTCCTTCATCTTTTCCTCAGTAAGATAAGCATGAAAGAATTCAGATTCTAGTAGAGCTTTTGCCAAAGTCTCTCTTGGCTCAAAGGATAGCAAAAGCATATTATAGAAGCTTAAGGATGTTGACAACTTCTTAATATATGCCAACACATTATAATTAACCTTACAAGACAAACATTTAGTTTTGTTAATTAATTGGGAACATTGGGATGATCATCAACCTCTCCAATATTGATATATTTCCCTTTTTCTTGTAAGGTAGGCTTAGCTATCATTGGAGGAAGAACTTTGTCACTTCTTAGAAGCACCTACTCGATATTCTCATCAAGCGACCCAAAAGGATCATATCTAATAAAACACTCCGCTGATGCCTCTATATCAAGGTGTTTATCATTGGAGGGCTGGCATGTTGTCATTTGATGAATCACTAAGATCATCATACACGCAATATGTGTCGTTGAGGGAGGGTAAGAATGGATGTTACTCCTCTCCTTCGATATCATTGTAACATTATCATCAAAATTGCAGGAATTACAAACATGAAAGACATAAGATTAATCAGAAATATTTTCTTTCATTTCTTCATTAAAAGTACAAGGTGTGTCAGGATAAGTATCATAATCCTCTCCCGAGATTACATTCACATTGTAACTGAAAGAAAATAAAGACTCAACAACATCTGGGGAAGACATGATTGGAGTGCTCACAATAATTTTGGCTGATCCTTGCTCAATATGCTTCTCCAAGTACTGCTTGGGAATTCCAATCTCCCAAGCCTTGTATCTTGCCTCAATCCAATCTTTGAAGGGGACTCAGTCTTCTAGAACATGCCCCAAATGCCTATAGTATGGGTAATAGTTGTGCTCTTTGGACTTCTCGACCTCTTCAGATCTTTTTGGTGAAGGCAACCACAGTCTCAATTTAATAAAATTTTTAAACATTTTATTAAGACATTCTTTCTTAAAAAAATGTCTTGACTTTTCATTGCTCAACAAATGGCAGTTTGTACTTTTGAGGAGGTGGATGAGTTAGCTCTGTAGACATGACATACTTCTTATGTCTACTATAAAATGCCACCGAAGCCATATTCTCTTCCACCTTCTTTGAAGGACCCATGACAAAATTTTTCTTCCCCTTGGACTCATGACTATCATTTTTGAATACCAAGGGCCCTGCAGTATTATGCAAGCTTGCAAAATTTTCTATTAATATTGCAAAGATCTTGATAGAAGAAATTTCTAACAAGACCGATATTAGACAATTTATCTCTCCCATTAGAAAAGCAACAATATGTTGCTCTTGAAGTTGGGGTTTACATTATATCCTCAAATTTCTTCGACGAAGCCCAAAATCCTTCACTCAATAGTAATTTTATAATGTGCCCCAACAAAGGCGCCGTTTGGTAAATCGACAAACCATTCAATAACAAATCTCGTTAAATTGGTATGAATAAGCGAAGAAGCATCACATCATTATTGCACACGTTGCAATACATCACTCTAAACTAAGCGATATGCTGCCTAGGATTTCCAAGCACATAAAACTATTTGAATGGTGGAGGAATAAACTCTTCAGAATAATAAATATATTCATATGCCTCTAGATAGGACCCACCCCTTCTCACAACAATCTTGCTATCTTGAGCTGTCAGGGCAGCCTTAACCTCAACATCCACTAAGGATTGCGGATGCAAGTCGGAAGTAAGATACTCAGTTTGGACAATATTAGATGAAGAAACATGAACTGACATAGGTATGACAGCACAAGAGGTACGACAGGCAAAGACATGCGCATCTCAACCTGTATAAGATGCGAAACTACATCAGACCTTGTCCATTGACTTACAATGCCACCACTTGAGCAGCTAAAACAACAATTTTGGTATGGAGATGAGCAATGTACTCATCTCTGCTTCTACTCATAATCAATTGTGGCGACATCTTGAGCCTCAAAAAACTTTTGATGTTCTGCCTTCTCGAGAGCATAACCGTGATGTTCAGCAGTACACCTCCCCGCTTTAGTGGTTACTGTCATGACATGATGAGAAACCATTTCACCATCATGAAGTTTCTTTCTACGGAAGTCATCATCATCGAGATAGCCTTTCTTCAAATCAGGCGGTCACGTTATAGGTCATTTTGATGATCTATTTCAAGCTCTACCTCAAGGTTCACTTGAGGTGAATCTAAGAGGATCGACTAGAGATACAAGTCATTTCGAAAGCATCTTTATCGCCTATTTAACTGGAGCCAAGGCATCAGAATGTGTGGTGGTGGGAACCATCCTAACCACTAACTCAAGGCCAGAACAAGATGATAATTATTTCTCACGTATATTCATTTTAAAAGAAAAATATGAGTATTGACAGGCGTATCTCCAACGTCTTTCTCTCTATTAGAATATAGAACATCCATCTTATTCTTGCTCAAAGACGACGAAAAGTAACTCAAAATATTTTTCTTTTTATTCTTCAAATATGAAGACACATAAGAAGCGGGTGTAGCTACTATATTGGTATTCGTTACAACAACTTCAGATACAACACCGACTGTCCCATGCGACGCCTCAGTGGTACCACATTATGCACAGAGGAAGGTAAGTATCCGGTTCTCGTAATGGGGACCTGCAAGCATTGCTCGGTCTCCTACTATAATGACTCAGGTGATGTGGAAAATGAAAAAACTCCCGCATTACTTGCTCATATGCTAAGATAAGTACGCACCACAAACTTAGAGTGATGGTCACCACGGAGGGCACTCGGTGTTGTTAGATGGACCCGATGGTGATGGCCCCAACTTATTATTGTATGCTAAGATCAGTAGCAGTGTCACCAATACAAACCACAGACTAAAAGACTGATAGAACTTCCAAGGCCCTCATCCACTGAGCTGCATGGAACCGTCTGATTCCATTCCTGGTGACATCTGATGAAAAACCAGAAAGTTCATCTGGCCAATGCTTGCCAGCCATGGCTGGCTTGCCGTTGCTTGCTCCGGGTTAAACCTTAGCCACATCCTTTATTTTTTCAGTTTGATTGTGTTTTTAAATTATGTGCCAGTTGCTTATAATATGTTTAGATATAATTTTTTTCATTAGTTTTTTTTTTTTTTTTCTGTACAGCGTGTCAGCATCCCATACTCAGTTTTCTGAATTTTTATTTATTTATTTATTTTGTTCTTTGGCACCTTATGAATTATTTCTTAACCTGCCAGCTACTTCAAAAATGAACATTTTGATTGATGAATGTGATTTGGTCTGTTTGCTGGTATAATTTAATAGTATTTTTTTCTTTACACTCAATTCAATGTCTAATGCAGGAATTAGAAAGAAGAAAGCGTGAACTGGAGGCATTATTGATAGAGGAGAGGGATTAATATCATACAAAGGATTTTTGGAAGCCAGAGACCGTAGTCACCGGCTCCTCTGTCGCATCAAGTTTCTCTTCTTTAATTAGGATGTGTGATTGCTTTGAGAGATGCCGACACCATGAGCATTGTCTGTGATGTTTTGTGAGCTGCTTGATTCATAGAATGTTGTTTCTTGCTATTTGTACAACCTTTTTTTTTTAAACCCTTCTGCGAGTTTCCTTCTTTTTTTTTTTTTTTTTTTTTTGATAATCCCTCTGGCAAAAAAAACGTTTGAAAGTTCCCACTGAAAATAAGACCGTTTTCATTCGTTATTATTGTTTTTTTTCCCCTTGGTGTGATTATATGAGTTTGCATGTTGGGACTGAAGATTTATTATAAAGGAAAATTTTAACTTTTCAAGAATTGTTTCTAGCTTCAACTATTCCAACTGAAAAACCAATTTACTTGAATTAGAGAATGGGTGATTTGAGTTAAATCAAATAGAAATTGATTCATTGCATGCATAACTTCGAGCAAAAGTTAACATAAAAATTTAACTCAAAATTGACATGTTTCTTGAGATGATAAATAAAAAATTTATTTCTGTGACATCAGGTTTAGCTTGCATGAATGACTGGATCTCCACTCATGATTTGAAAGAAAAAGGATCAAAAATAAAATCATTTAAAAAGAATATAAATGATAAATCTAGATTCTCATTCTAATTCTATACTTATTTTTATACGACAAAATAAGGATTTAAAAAGGAAACCTGGATTGAAGCAGGTAATGACAAATGATGGTATGTAAAAACAAAAATAGCAATTCTATCATTCTAAACTACCAAATAGAGATAGCATTTGGTAAAATATACAAAAAACACATTGACGCTTCAATGCCTGAAATGACGACGATAAACCATTGTACACATTTATTCAGCCAAAAAAGACTTCAAGTAATATTTACACTATCCAAATGCATGAAAAGGAAAAAACAGCTTCAAGCAGAGCTGAAATCCAACAAGTTTTAACTTAAACGTGTTTACAATCTGATTCCTATCACACCTGCACCTTATAAACCAAATTGGAGTAAAACCTAATTCCTACAATGGATCAATGGTGAAAATGTACAACTCTCTCTCTATATATATTCTTCTAGTTACATGCCTACCACCTCATTAAAATTACAGAGCAGGAAAAGTTGTACAGATTGAAAAAAGGAGAATTAAAAACTCAGCTAACAAATCTGAGATTTACGCTGATCATAATTACAGTGGTCAAGCTCCCCTCAAATCTTTTAAATTTGGCTTTGGCAACACATATGGCTGATTATTGTTGCAGTTTAAATGTGTGAAATTGTGATGGTTGGATGCAAATAAATATGGGCCATTTGAAACATTTGCTACAGAGCCAGAACAATGATGGTGTCCCACAGCTGACTGAAAACCATTTGAGATATTCATTGAAGAGGCTGAAGCAGAAGGACCTGGGAGGAAATGATTTGAATGTGGTAATAAGCTGTGGAAAGCTTCTGGTGCAGATCTCAATGGAAGGCGAGAACCGTTGGATTCAGAAGTTTCTGTACTGATCTCACTGAAGAGGACAATGAAAATAACGAGTTTTGATTGCAAACGTCGTCAAAAGAGAACAATGCTTTCACTTTTTGTTTGTTTTAAACAAAAAACAAAATAATTACTGAAAAATACTGTTAATGAAGCTTTACTAACCCATTGGTAAGCGGCCTTCCCTTCAGCAAAGGCTCGCTTCTTGCTCTAGGCATGTCCCTTGGGCTGAAGGTAGTCTCCTGACATGGTTTTATAGAATTATCAAATATATTCCTATAACAAACAGTGAACTTAAGATCATGCAGAGAAAATCAAAATATTTTAATTTGAGTCTATAAAAGCATCAATTTAAACCAGACTCTTTTATTATTGGTTGAAACAGTCCCTACAGAGGACTATTCACCCCCAATGTAATTTGAAACTTTTAAAACTTCAGTAAAATGGCCCCATGTAAACAGTCAGTCCTTTATTGGGCGTTATACTCATAAAATACAATTCGGATCTGACACTTACAGTGGGTTTAATTCCCGCAAAAGCCTGGATGGAACCGTGAAGATTGTAGTGGTTTGAGTTCCGAATAAAGGGATGATCAAGAAGCATGTTTGCTGTCGGCCTTTCTAGTGGATTCCTGCGGAAACAACGCTGCAGGAAGTCTTTACCTTCTGATGATAAAGTCTCGGGTATAGGTGGATCTTTATGCAGCACCTTAAACATTGCTGCAGCCTACCCTCATAGAGAATACAACAATAAACACTCATAGAGAATGTCGGACTAAATATTGAACACAGTAAAATAGAAGAAGATCCACAAGGGTAGGCATGCAAAAATAAATAAATAAATAAAACATGCATATATATATGCCATTGTAAACTTGAGCAGCTCATCACTACGCATAAAATAGATTTATAATGCCTGGGCTTCTCATTAGAAATGTCAACATATAGCATCAATATGTTCTGTTTAAAGAAATAATTTCGCTGAAGACGAGGTTTCTCAAAGCATTTGATAAACAATTGTTCCCAGCCTAAAAAAGTTGTAGAAACCTAATTATTTATCAAATTTAGATCGCTGTCAACTAAGTATTTTGTGTCTAATGAGATGGCTTCTAACGTTAAGTTTTACAGCCAAATCAAAACTTCCTAATTAAATTTTAGATACAAGAGAAGAAGCATCTAAAATTTTCATATACACATATATAGCCATAATTATTTAGGATTGCAATAATTCATTTAAGGAAAAAATGTTGCTGAAGAATGGGTTTCAGAAAGCACTTGGTTGGTAATAGTTCATAACAATAATAAATAGCCATACGATATTGACAAATATGGATTAGCTCAAAAAATAAAAGCAGCCAAATCATTACTCTACCCATTCAAACTTATATTAAATGTGGCCAGAGGGAGAAAATCTCCAAATTTGACCGGCTGTTCGTGCATAATCAAGGGAATAATAACAAAAACTTATATCATCAAAATTCAAACGTCCTTTGCCTAACGCATAACACCTCGCAGTATAAGGATCAATGCCAGTTGCAATTTTGGCATAATCATTCTTTTAGGATGAAGCAATGAAAAGTAGATAATTGGTTTGATAAACCCAGTTTAACAAGACAGGTTAAACAGAATTATTGATGATTTGGATGCTCCCCTATTATCCAGTAACATAAAAAATGCATACTAATTAAGTGATATTACAGAAGAGTAAACCATGCTAATTTTTTATTTACAACTGTAACTTTAGAAGATCAGGATCAGAAATAATTTAAAGGCATCACAGGAATTAAAAAAAGTTAAAAATTATGGCAAAGAAGCAATTATTAATAGAAACAATCAGCTAATTCTAAGAGGAGATTGATACCATGATCACAGTGCATGAAACACTAAATAATGAATGCAAGGAAGTGAATTATACTTGACATGTAATGCATCTGGGAGAATGAAAAATAAAATAAAGTAAGATGAGGATGTGGAAGGAGATGAGGAGGTGAAGACAGAATATGATGCACAGTTAAGAAAAAGAAAGAATACCCAAAAAGGTTGTGCATTAAAACAGCTGAAAGTAGAGATTACACTCAATTCAATAGTTTGCTACTCGTTTATACCCGTTCATTTAAATAGTTGAACAAGTTTAATAAAATTTAAAAACAAGACATATAATTAAACAAACTGAAAGTGACTATACTTATCTGTAGTTTAGCAAATAGCTCGTTAAGAGCTTGATAAATGCTGATTTAATGATGCTTTAATTGTCTATAAAGTTCAATATAAATTTTAATATATAAAATATCAGATAAAAAGTTAAAAATATAATGTTAGGGATCTATGTCAATTTTAAGTATCAATTATAAATCTAAATATGCCTACTAATGAACACATAACGTTTAATTTATTTACATTTAAAATAAAATTAGCTAGCCACGTCTAAAGCTCAATTGTGGCCCGAACAAGATAAAAAAACTAATAAACAAGCATGATTTTTTTTTTAACTCATGTAATGTTCAAAGTTAAACTCAATGAAATAAAATAAAAAAACGAGCTTGAAAAAAATTAAAAACAGCTCAACTCGGATTGTTTATAGCACCAACCTCAAGGGCAAAAATGGTAAATACAAAAAAGATAATGGGCTAGCAGTAGACTAAGGCATTTAGCAAGCTGAACAAAAAACTATTAATCTGAGTTGGTCTGACTGCTTCAATAAAGATGAAGGATATACTCAATGCATAAAGTTCCCAACTTATATCTTATCCCATCATTATAGAGGCAACTTCTTACAAAATAAAAATAAATTAGGTTTGAAATAGAGACAACCAAAAATAATTGCGCTGGAAACTTCAATACAAGCCTGACCCAATAAGGACTCGCCAATCATCTGGAATTCCTAAAATCCTACCTCCATCCTACCCTCAGGTATGGACTTCAACTGTGAAGTACCTTGAAAATTTGATCCATTCTTTTTAGTCAGGAAACTGGTTCTTAGCTATAAAATATTTGATTTCTAATTGCACTTCATAGAGTTCAAGATAACAATCTACCTGGATGACATTCAGGTTCATAAAAAACTAGACTCTGGTACGGACTTCAACTCTGAAGTACTTCGAAAGTTTGATCCTTTTTTTTTTTTTTGTCAGGAAACTGATTTTTAGCTATGAAATATTTGATTTCTTATTGCACTTCATAGAGTTCAAGAAGACAATCTACTCGGATGACATTCAGGTTCATAAAAAACTACACCAACAGTTAGGATTTTGAAATGCTGTAACCTTTGAAGAGAAAAACAAATGGTGCAACCATTTGTGCAAGGGCTCAAGGAACTTCTGTGTAAGAGTTTCATCACCTTGTTCATTCTCATCTTTGATATGATTTTTCGTATTAGAATTCTCCCAATAACAAACAAAGAGTAACAGGAATGTTTTACCAATTATGGCTAAATTCTTCAAATGAATTCAATTTAAAATTTTTCTAGTAGTACGTTATTTTGGTCTTAATTTTTGAAAAGCATTGTGTCATAGACTAAGGGTCCAATTAGGATAGCTTTCTGTCTGTTTTGTGTTTTAAAACGCCACCACAATTGTATTTGGGAGAAGTACTTGATACTTTCTAGAAATTTCTGTGGTGGGAAGTTATTTTTTTTCAAACATAATCCGTTAAAGCGCGATGGCTATAAAAAAGTTTGTCTAATGTTTTGGAAACAAAACATATTTATAATTATCACCACAGTTTTCTAAGATGTTGCTATCTACACAACTTTAAAATAAACCTTTTTAAGAAGCTTCAGTGACCACAAAAAGACCCTACAACTTCTTGGATATATGAAGCAGTTTGTTTTTTCTCCCCTAAGATGTTGCTTTCTGCACCACAGCTTTAAAACAGTCTTTTTAAAAAGTTGCAGCCACCCTAAACAGACCCTACAACTTCTTGGATATATAAAATAGTTTGTTTTTTAATCCTCATCACAGCTTTCTAAGACGTTGCTTTCTACACAACTTTAAAACAACCTTTTTAAAAGCTTCCCAACAACTTAATCAACTCGTGATGAAATCCAAGGGTTAGCTATAATATTTGCAAGTGATGTGCACAACTTAACCTAATTGTAATGTGAGCGAGCGACATATAGCTTGTTGTAAAACTAAGAGTAGAATTGCCAAATGAAATTAGAGAACTTTAAAGGAAAAGACAGAAAAAAAATAGTGGGCAAAATACTTGAAAGAATGAAAAAAATTTCTTACAATAATTCAAAAGAGGGTCTTCGTTCGCCCATCACAATCTTTACAATTCCAAAAATTCAATTTTCAATGTTCCTATTTACAGCGACGAAGAATTAAACTCTCACTATATTGCTTTTCCTACTTCTATTTCCAATCGCAGGATAACCAGCTTGTGTGTTTGTGTTTTTTTTAATCAATTGGCGCTCTCCCTTCACCGCCCCCATGGGGATGGTCTACATGATTCATAACTACTCTTACTACAAGACGCTTACCTAGCCAACACTGAGAAGCGACTCTACCAAAACATTGTTGGTTCACCCCAATATTACCCACTTGCCCGACTGTTGCTAAACAATTTTTGGATATCAAACGGACCTCCCCAGATGGTAATGTGGTCGATTTACCCTCTTTTGCAATTAGTTCTAATGCCTGCTGCTCTAGCCAATTGTCCGCCCTTTCCAAGTGTGATTTCTATGTTATTATGATCGTGCCTAAGGGCACACCGGTTAAAGTAGATTCTTCTTTTCCCTTTCCATATATTGGGTACACACATCACATCTGTGGTCATTATACCTTCGCTCTTCCACTCTAGAATAGTGAACTCCAAGGTTCATCAATATTTTCTTTTCTCTATGCAATCATACAATGTACAATGAAAGAATCAGAACTGGAATTGAAAGCGCATCAAGGGAAAATCAGTGACATATTTCCAAGTCCAAACTCTTGGGAAATTCAAGGACATTGGAAAATATCATTAGTTAATTATTGCATGTTAGCAAGGTTTATAATATAAATCGGGTTGAGCTGTAGTACATGGCGAGTTGAATCATAGAATAAGATAAAAGAGCAGTGATAAAGCGATTGCTATTTTACGAATTATCAATAAGGATATTTTAAAAATAAAAAAAATGAATTATTAAAATGTCTACTAGAAGAATAAACAAAAATTATTAAAGGTGGCTTAGACGGGCATACAGGTTTTACACAATGTAGAAATGCAATGAGAATTTATACTTGATTTCTTGACGCAGATAGCTTGCAACAGTGAATACATACGTTAAAAAAAAAAAGAAAACGAACCCACCAAATCATAGATTCGGGGGTTTTTTTTTTACAAGAAAAAAATTACAAATTTTGTAAGTTACCACAAAAAATTTTAACCATACAACATAAAAAGTAGCATATCTTTGGAATATAAAGGCATGGATTTAAAAACAAAAAAAACCTAATAGAAGATGATGTAAGACAAATTGTTAAAAGCAGCAAATTGGAATTATTTAATGAAGCAAGCCAACTTTTTATATGATGACAACCAACTTCTTCAAGAAATTACCGTACAAATTTTGAGTCCAGTAAAAAATTGCACCAATCAGAAGACTTTATGGCAAAATAAGGAGTTCTAAAATATTATTCAAGAGAAAAATTATGTTTTTAACAAAGACAAAAGATAATGTCCATAATGAATACAAGAAAACTAGAATTCTTGCAAACAAAATAATGACTAAAGCAAAAGCTATATTTTTATATGATTTATATAATGGGATAGATAGTAAAATGAAGATATATATACATACATATATATATATATATATACATACATATATATATATATATATACATACATATATATATATATATATATATATATATATATATGAGAGATCTAGAAACTTCAGTCAAATTAAATGCTTTAGAAGATTCTTAAGATTATTTTAGCAGCATTAAAGAGATAGAAACGTGCTTTAAAAAAAATATTAAATGAACCGTAAAGAAAGAAAAAATAGTTCTTGATATAATGCATAAATTAATGGAAATATCTTATATATTGACCCAAAAAAGTCAAGTGGTATTGAATTTGAAGAATACGCAAAAAAAACAAATCTTTTTAATGCAAATCATTCCAAGCCATCAATTTTTAAATTAGGATCATCACAAGAATCATGAATCACGTGTCACGTGCACATTCCATTTCATATTTCAGCATCCTCATTTATGTTTCATATTTAGTTTATGTAATAAAGAAATTAAGTCTTTACTAGCCATAAGCAATTTGGGTTTAAAGCCCTTATCATATATGAACGGTTATGGAATTGTATTTTCATTAGGCTTTGATTGAATAAAAATCTTTAGTTGTTTACGAAACTTAAATCTTTCTCTTCTCATTCCTCTCCCTCTTTCCTTCACCCTTTCTTCTTTTCTAAAAGCCTAGCAAGCCCTTTTAATATGTAGACTACATTATTTCAGACTTAAAAAAAAAAAGATGAAGATACAGTGAAGTTCATAAAGTCAAAGTTGCAAGCACCTAGCGATTTCAGTATAAATTCAAGTTTTGTGCTTCAAAGTTGAGAAGGATTACCCCCTCAAGTCCACTCCAAGGATGTTTCCCAGTAAACATCTCAATAATTGTACAACCCAGGCTCCAAATATCAACGGCAAAATCATAACCGATATCCTTGTTCATTGTAGCTTGTACAACCTGCATAAAAAGGTGGAGCAAAAATTCAGCCGATGAACATTACATTTTCAACAAATGATTAAAAATGGTGAAACAATGATTCTCAGGAAGCTTTATTAAAACTGTCAGTGTCAATAAATGGAAGTCAAGGCATCACACAGAAGGTAAATGAAAGTCATGGCATCGTTGAGAAGTTTTTGCTGCTTAAAAGGGGCAAGGCTCTCCTCTCAGCACCAACAAAGCAAATAAATAGGAAAATTTACATACTTCTTACACAATTCTTATGTATTAACATATCGCACACCTAAAATTTTATATTTACATATATAGAACTTTGCGCTTTCATCAAAAAATGAATCTCACTTTTAAAAAGTGATAATAGTGCTACTTTTGATGTGATATTAAAGCTTTGAGTGCTGTGTGTAAGTATGAAAGTTTAGGTGTGAGGCATGTAGATACATAAGAATTGTGTACTATGTATGTAAATGCCCCATAAAAATAATAGAAATCCACCAGTTGCAAGGTCTATCAGCAGGACACACAATTAAGGGGCCTTTCGGCATGGTGTTCAAACTACGTTGCATCCTGAAGAAGCGCCTCACCCTATTTCTTCCGCATGTTTTGCCTGCATTGCTTACAACTCGCTCGATAAAAATGCCAAAAGCAGCCACAACGACACGCCCGTGGCTAGCAGTTTCCCTGCGACAAAATTACCTAATAACCCATATCTTATCGCACAAAGAAAGGGCAGGCTCTGCGATGAGCTGTGCTAAGCGAGAGAAACCGAGAGAGGGCGTGTCGCTGTGAAACGCTTTTGGCATTTAGTGAAGAGGTAAATTTTTTTTTGTCCATCTATTGAAATTGTGTTTATTCTCCTCGCCGTTCTTCTTCTTCTTCTTCTTGAATGAGAAGGAAGCAACATTGTCTACATTTTCACTATTTTGCTTTTTGTTCCGGAACGGATGCCTTGGGAGTTTTCCCAGATATCCTCCCTCGCAAAGAACCTAGTTAGCACCCAACACTTCACTCTGATCTTCCTCCTCTCTTGTTTTCCTTTCCAGCTCTCTCCCCTCACGCCAAAACCGAGTGGCAGGCCAGTTTCGGGAAAAAATTAGGGAGCAGCAATATTTGAGATTCGGTGGGATTTGTGCTTGTCATTTGCTATTTCTTTAAATTTATGTAAAGTGATTTTCAACTCTTATCAAGCAGTCATCTTGAATAGAAGCAGAAAAAATGGGGTTTAAATTCCTGTAGGATTTAAAATTTTATTTTGGCTGCGAGCAAAAAATGACATTTAAGATTTGTTAAAATGTAGTGTTAGCATTTCAATTATGCTTTGCAGAGGAAAAATTGGGATTTTGAGTTTTGTAGGATTTATGATTGTCGTTTAGCCGTTGGTAGGAAAAAAGAAGATTTAACATAATCATTTTTTATGCTTTGTTAAAAGTATAGTTAAATCCTGCTTAGTTTTTATTGCCAAACAGCTAATATTATTTGGATTCAAGGATAAACATGGGTGAAATGAAAATCTTATTCTGTAGGATTTACATATGCCGTTTTAGTTGTTTCGACAAGGTAGAAACATGATTAATGATTCTGTGGAATGTCTTGTTATTATTATTTAACTATTTGATTAAATGCACATAAAATCTTGTTATCAAGCAATATTTTATTGAGATTTAAGACAAAAGCTAGAGAGAAATGAAATTTTAAATCCTACATGAATTAAAAATCATCATTTTTGTTGTTTGTATAGAGTGAGATGAAGGGAAAAGTGGAGTTTTAAATTTCGCAGAATTTAATGTTCTGTGTGGTTGTGTTGTTGTGGGAGAAATGAAATGTACATGTAAAAATCAAAGTGATCATTTTGCATTCTTTTTGGAAGATTTACATACATACCTTTCATTATTTATGTATTTACATATCTAACACTTGGGCATCAATTTTTTACATACATGCCATCTTACCTATTCATTAAAAGGTGCATTTCACCTTTTTAAGTGAAAATGGAGTTATTTCTTATGTGATATGAAATATGTGGGTGGTAAGAATGTATAAAAAAGAAAAGTTGGATCTAGTGTTTGTTGAGATAGTTCTATGTATGAGGCTACACAGAGAGAGCCTCATTAGAAAATGAATTGAAGTTTCTTTATTTGTTTCATTTCAATTTTCAATGTAATTCATAGGATGAAGTTATTTTGTATGTAGTGAAGCACATTGTTGTAGGTTCTTAGTGAAGCACATATGTAGAGAATCAATTCAATTTTGTAAAAGGTTTGGAGAATTTCTTATTCCATTTATTTTGCAGCCTAAGTGGTCATAGGTTTGTTTATGTATGCAATTTTTGCTCTGAACATTTTGAAGTGGTTTAATCATATTTGTTTTGCCCTAGTGATTAAAAAATTTTTGTTGAAATGAATTTGTCTCTCTGTTTGTAAGAAATTATATTGATTACTTATTTTCAAAACTAGTGGTGGAGATGGGTAAGACAAGAATGTGGATAGGTTGTTATGTGGGAAAAATATGAAAAGTTAATCTTTCGTGATCTCTAATTAAAGAAGCTGGAATTGAAAAATAGGCCAACAACCTAATTTAACAAAGAAGAATGACATAATATAATAAAATAATTTAAAGAAAGAACTGAAATAGAGTATGATGTGTTGCAATCGAAGAATAAATGAGATTAGTTAAAAAATGATTGAAAAATATGAAAAGAGTTAAAGCGAAGAGCAAAAGGCTTAAGTTGGGATCCTATAAAGTGAATCATTGATGTTTCAGAAGAATGGTGGGCTGAGAGATAGAAGGTTAAATATTATTTTCAATTCAAAATATTTCAAAATTTTCAAATTCAATTCGTTTATATTAACATACCATCTACCAATTAATTTATAGGTCCATACCAAATGCCACAAAGTTCAAATTTAGTGGCATTGACCCTGGGCTTGAAAAGAAGTTGGATCTAATGTTTGGTGAAGTTGAGGCCACCAGTGATCATGCATGGACACCGGGTGAGAGAGTGCACATTAACATAGTCGAGAGTGTACATTATGAGCAAAAGGACTAAACTAAAAGGTCGAGTCATGTCCTAAACGAAGTTGGATCAATTTATCCCAAACATTCTTAGAATGAGAAAAAGAAAAATTATGGTGCAGTGTTTTTGAGAAGTTAAATTACGTAATTAGTGTTGCATGCACTAATGAATCTAGCACATACTTCTATTCAAGAAGTTATGAATACATCAAAAGAAACTCTAGCAATTTATGAAGATATGTCTTTTACTTTTATTCAATAAAATTGTTAGAAGATCCCATAAGGAGAGAGTCCTTTATGTCAATGAAACTTGAGCATAGGCTTATTTATTTAGGTTTCGTTTACGACAATCGTGTGTACGAGTCTTATGATATTTTAAACCTGTTTTTTTTGTGTACGAGTGGTATGTATTTAGGAGATATTATTTTTGATATATCAGTGCAATCATGTATCAATATTTTTTATGTAAGAGTGTGTTTATTAATGCTACATATATCAATGATTTGTGCTTTGTTACGTACGATTACAAGTTCTAAAACGTATCAATATTTGAATTTTTTTAGAAATTGCTTTCTAATTCATGATATGTATTTCTTCAGCTTCAGATCTACATATTCAACCACGTTTTTTTATTAACATTTCATTTTTTTAATTTTGTTTAACTATTTTAAAATACCAACAATGAATAACAGTGATATAGAAAAATACACGAGAATCATTACATGAGTATTATACTTAATATATAAGCATTACAACTCATATATTGCTCACACTCATTGCATGACATCAATATGAATTGACGACAAATGGGCTAGAGAGCTTATGGGTTAACCAACAAAATTGCATATGTTTCATAGGACATGTTATATTTATTGATTTGTTGGAAGAACCAAACCAAAATTATGGTCTCTATAGTTTCTCTAGATGACTTCAATATAGATATTAGCTACAACTCTCTATATTTTATCACAAAAAAAGTCCATACGGGAGGTCATAGAGTGATTCCAGCGTTAATAAAAAATAATTAATAGATATTTTTCAGATTGTTTGAATGATTCGGTTAGTTTATCTAAAAAAATTAAGATCTCAAGACCCAACATTCCAAAATACACCTGCAGAGGATCCACAAGATCAACGCTATATGTTATACTTTAATATAGATTTTGAGTTCATCTTTTCAAAAATAAATTTATACGCGGTCATGCTAATATGTTATTTAATGATTTAAGATTGTATTGAAGCAATTGATGATGCACGTGTACTTAACAGTGAAAAGATTGTATGCATTAGACGCGATTCAACAACACAGAACGATATAACTATATGTGATTTCAACATGTATTTCACATTATTTCACACACATGATAGTCGTATATTCAAATTTGTTACGTGAAGTCATCAATACAATTTTCTCATGCCACCTCCAAGTTTGCTTGTGTATAAATAAATTTAATAATTTTTTCTTTACAATGTTGAAGGTTGTACTTTAAATAGAGAAATATTATCTGAATGACGCTAAATATCTATTACAAAGAGAGTTTTTCAAGTCATTTCCTATCATTAAATATCACATTCTTAATTGAGAAAAGAGTTAACCCTATAGTTCGGGGAAGAAAGAAGATGTTTAACAAACAACAATTTTCTTTACGTGATGTTATTGCAAGGACCTATATCTACAAGTCCTTTCAGCAATTAAATGAAGATTGTGGCTGCTACAATGATTTTCTACAATTACATTCGCAGCATCATTGACATATTGATATTGATTTCGTCAGTGTAAATAAAAATTTATCACGTCCCTCCTGAAAGGTATAAATATCGCTTAGAGCAGTCAAATATCATTAGCTGATTGTGATTTAAGTGAATCTTGTAACACATGATGAAAAAGGTGTTGAAGAGATGATTAAGTCGCGAGAACATATTACAAATACATTAGTTAACATGTGAAATAATATTGTATGTTAGTTTTTATTTAACTATGTTTAATATGTTGTGTAAACTCTTAATATTAATTGTAATGAGTATTTTAGCAAGATTTTTTTAACTACTTTAACTGTTTTATGTATATTTTTCAAACAACTGCACATAAAGACATTTCCGTCTTTTGTTCATAAATAACAACACAACATATTTACAGCTGCATTTTTCAAACTAAAATACAACTTTCTGATAACAACTTTCAGACAGTTATTTTTTCAGACAACTTTACAGTTACTTTTTCAGACAAGTGCAGCTGCCCCAAACGCATCCCAAGTGTTATGAATAGATAATGAAAGTAAATCAATACACTTATCTAACAATGGAAAGCATAGTTATCATGACACCAAGGGAAAGCTTTTGCTATCAAACCAAAACCAAGGTGTTTCCCTGACAGAGATGTGTGGTAACTCTAATCAACTAGATGACATTCTAGGAAGTTGGCTTTCAAATTTTTTTTTTTTATAATTTCATCAATAGTAACCATTTGTTTCGAAAACGACATTGGAGACGATGACTCACTTCTGAATTCTTTCATAAAAATTGCACCAACTATCAAGGTCTTTTTATCCATCGCCGAATCTCACTCCATTGCAAGGTTGTCCCATACAGTTATGTACTATAGAACCCATGCATGGGCAAACTTCACTTCCCTCCCTCCAGTTAAGTTCATTTAACATTTTCATAACCCTTCACTCAAAGAAAAAGCAACGCAAACTTCTTGACATGGAAACCAAAGCAGTATTAAGATTAATATTTGGGTTATCCAGCAGTAGCTAAAATTTATAAGTATAATCTGGAAGAAATTACAACCATTCGTCCATTGCTGTTGCCGCTAAGAGCAAAAAGTCTTCGGTACACATTAACTCGTAGGTGCAAACACACTTTCTCAAACATATTTGCCAAAGGCAGGAATTATATAAGGATGAAAATTAGGATCTAGGTTCAACTGGTCGATGAAAATAACTGTTCCAATAGTCCAACTCGCTACAAACTAGTTATGAACTTGCTCTGATTCACGCAAAAGAAAAAAAAGGGAATACACTAACTTTAATAATTAGTAGCAATGATAGATGAATTATAATCCTGTGAAAAGAATACCTCTGGAGCCATCCAATATGGAGTTCCCTTCAAGGAAAGTGCCGGTGCAGCCCCACTTAACTGAAAAAATGGGAAAATAAAAACGATAAAAATTGGAACATCGAAAAAACATCTTTGAACAATCATATAAATACATTTCTACAAAGAAATCTATTTGTTGAGCTCAAGTAATTATAAAAAAAATAAAAGAAAAAAATAATTTCATACAAAAAGAACTTAACATCATACAGTATGCCCAACACAAAACTAGCTGTCTTTTTCATGAATAGGATAAGAAAAAATATTGTGGAAAGTAAAAAAAAAAAGATTTCTGTAATGACATGTACTTCCAACAAGTCATCAAAATTCAAGCGAGCAAATCCAACTTCGCTTAGCCTTAGTTCTTGATGTTTTGCCACAATAAAATATTCTAAGCAATTATTATTGCTAGATTTATTGAGCTCACCAATACATTGAGTCATCTTTCAAAAGCCATAATGGAAATACAAAAGGAAACATGAGAAATACATCTTACCCCCATCAAAATTGGTATACCATTAGGTCAGTTATCTGTAGTCATCGTGAAGTTGGTATATCACTGAAAGTATTTTTCTTTTAAAATCAATTATTCAACTTACATTAAATTAAACTTAGGTTTCACTATCAACTCCCTTGGCACTTCACATATGGGTTTATCCTGTCGTATATGCATAGAAATTCAAACATTTTCAAACAAGATCAGCTTGATACGGCAGTGCATAAAATGTTCCTTCAAGAATGGTATTTACCAGGGCTGATCTCAAAATAAAGGCCTCACAAAGCCAAAAAGATTTCTCAATCAAAGAATAATTAAGGTTACTTACCTGATTAAGCTATATATTATAATAATTTTCAACAATTATAAGTTGTGTTCTAGAAGTATGTGCTTAAATAGTTCCATGTAAGGATCAAATAAATCAAAATGCGCACTGGTAAATTAGAGAGAACTGCAAGTGACTTCTATTGCAACAAAAATGTACTGTTATTCACGACTGATGAAAAAGCATAAAAACTAGGTCTAAATTAATCAATATCATAGGCGGAATGGTAAATTAAACAAATACTAGAATTTAATCGTAACCAATATTTTCATGAGTTTATTCTGATAACTAATTCATTCACACCGCTGTAATTTCACACATGTAGATTTTGTATGTGCAAGTGTGGTCTATAAACATGTTTGTTGATATAAAAATAAAAAGACGTTCCAAACCACTTGGGCCTAACTAGTATTAAATTTGATCTTGAAGATCCCACAACAGAAAATAAGAACTTCGGCATTTCATAAATTTCATCAGCAATTGCAAAAAATAGTAATTTTTTTTTCCAGGAAAGGAGAGCACAAAGGGCAATATCATGATTGCAACCTGCAACCTCACGGTGAGAAATTACACCCTCAACCACTATATCGCAAATATGTTCGCAAAAATTATACATATCTTCCATTCTTTGTTTCCATACCACAAGTAAACGAAATTAATGAATATCTAAAGATCATAAATCATAAATACATCACTAAACAATATATGCCATACTTAATATACAACAACTTACTTTCAACAAAGCTTGGCACATTCATATTTCTTGAAATTTAACCCTAAGTAATTCAGACAACTGTGTTAAAATCAACGCTATAGATTTTGATTTTGAAGCCTCAAAATCTGATGTAAGCGAGAAATACATGTTTATAAAAAAACTAATTGTGTACTCTCCACACACAAATTTCTCAAACGTTGAACAAGCAAAGCAATCAATATGGTACTGAAAGTACTATTTTGTAAAAAACAATAACAATAATGAAATAGGAGCTTGGTCTTGAGAAAACTATCAAATAAAAAAAGATTAAGTGATGATTAGACAAACAAAAAGCTTTATGAATAAGAAAAATGGTTGTTCATATAGCATGCAAGGAAAAACTACAGCATGGCCTCAAAATTAAAAAAAACCCGACTCAAGCTCATCTTTTGTAAAAGAAGACCAAACAATAATGAAAAAAAAATCCCAAATATTTGGGCCAGCGTTATGAAAACATGGTGAAAGTATTTATCATTTATAATTACAACTAAGGATAAATCTTTCACATTGCCCGTAAATTTTGCTAGGAAAAAAGCTCACTTAATATTTACAAGATTTTCCAAGTCCAAAATCCTCAACCCATCATCTGAAGAATTAACTAGAGAAGGAATTTTATTGTGGAGTGTGGGAAGTTAGGTGGTGTGTAAACACGATTTCATTTGAGGTTGTGCTTAACTTCAGCCTGTGTTGCTAAACCTGAAACACTAGGAACTCATTTGTACTAAACAAAGCCAATCTCAAAATCAAAATATATTAAAACTCCTTCCATGCTTCAGGATGCGCTTGGTTGCCAAGGAAAGACAAACAAAATTTTCAGGTTAATCTATGTAAGATGACTTAGGATCTAGAATTCAAAAACTCAAACCTACAATGAGATATACAGTAAAACATGTACCTCACAATTCGTGATTTCTCAACTTTCGATTTAAGCAAAAACTAATTACCGCTGATGGAAAATTAAAAAATAAATTTATGTTCAAATTGATGATTTTAAAGAATCCAAAATCTAAAATTTTAAAATAAATCTCAGAACAAATATAAAATTTTGCAGCAATTAAGATTCAAACCACAAAAAATATATTCATGTTCAAAATGCTAATTTTAAAGAATCCGAAATCTGAGATTTTAAAATAAATCTGAGAACAAATACAAAATTATGCAGCAATTAAGATTCACACCACAAAGAAGGAAATCTAACATATGTCAACACCGAAAAATAATTACAGAATAAAGAACAATAACGGAAATCATTAACAGGAAGGTCCAAATTTTTTGTTGGTATAAAGAGAAAAAATTTGCAAAGAGATAAAAAAAATCACATTAAACAGCACACACACAAGAATTGAGAGAAATAAATTTTAGGATAATTACATACAAAGCACCCAAAACATTGAAATTTACAAATTAAGCACCCATGTGATTTTTTGAACGACCGAACTGATGCATTTAAGTGTGCCACGATCAAACCATTGAGAATTTAATAAAAATAGAAAATATGGGTTGGGTATATATCATAAATTTTGATATTTGAGTGAGAACTTGAAAAATGGATGAAAGAGAGTACTTGATTTGTAAATAGCAATATTTCAAGTGCGATGTATGTAATTGCCTTAATTTTATTCAAATATTGAATCATACAATTATTTTATGCACCATAGGGGTCGTCATATTTATAACCCAAAAAACTTTAAAAAGAAATTTCTCAAAATATTCCAAGAACAAGTTCTCAATCTTGGTTTCAAAAAATTAATAAATTGAAAAAAGAAAACTTGTTTACAACAATTCACAATTTTTCTACTGTAATACTATGCCGAGAAAGGAAGAAAACTAATCAGAGAGGTAAGGCAACAATGTCTAACGAGAAAACTAGAAGATAAAGAAATTGCAATCTCATCTGCTATTTTCAATGGTTATGGGTGACATTTAACTTTCAAACTCATAAATTCAACTAGGATTAGCAATAAAAGGAAATTTCGCTAACAATGAGCATACAAAAAAATTTCTTACATATTTCAAATATGTTTAACCAATCTAGTTCAACCCTAGGTGTTGTAACGATGTGTTCACATAACATACAAAATAATTTCAATCGAACTATTTTCAAAATTATGAATCTCCATGAAAATCCTTAATATCTTCATTTCAACATCTACTATGGTATTCACTTGCAAAGTGATTTTATATAACTTTTTTTAATGACATATAAAACATGCCTAAAAAATTTTGGCGCCAAACATAAGTTAGACTTTCCTTAAAATCTTTATTAATAATAGCATTACCTCTTTCAGAAGCAATAATTGGATTTTGAGCAGACTTTGATTACCCAGGAGAAAAGACGTATTTTTTTATCTATACAAAATTTTTTTAGGTGCATTTTTTTAGTTTAGGGTGAAAAGTCATGGCAAGTTGAAAAGCCTTATCTAACTGAGTTAATGTTACAACAACAATAAGCCTTTATCCTACTAGGTGAGGTCGGCTACATGAATCCTTTTTCTCCATTGTCCTATTGGGGGTGTCGTATTTTCATTTAATTCTAATAGATAAGATCATTTTTTTATAAAATACGCCCAAAGTCTTTTTATGTCTACCTCTGTCTTTCTTAACATAAGTTGAATTTAAGACATTCACTCTCCTAACCAGATTATCAGATTGTCGACTTTTAATGTAACCAAACCATCTGAGACGACTTTCTCTAATCTTGTCTGCAACTGGAGCTACACTAACCCTTTCACGGATAGATTCATTGATTCATTTCGCATTTTGTTCGCATTTTGTCTCTAAGTATCAAGCCACTCATCCACCTAAAAAGAAAATCCTCAAAAAAAAGATTTCTCTCTCCTACACGAAGTCCTTATCATTATCTAATAAAATAAATGAGTACTCTATAATTAATCATAAATCATAGAGGCGACCTACATCGAATACACTTATCCAGAACTCTTTTCACAAGTAGCAAATCCAACAAAGAGGGTCAATAGATTCTTGTGATTAGGGTTGTCAATTTGACTCGTTGTTCGCGAACAGTTCGTGTTCGGCTTGTTAAACGGCTAGTGTTTGATCCATTTGTTAAGCCTAACAGGCTGAACACGAACAAATTTTTAAATTCAAAATGTGAACGAGCCGAACACGAACAAAAATTTGTTCGCTCATGTTCGGCTCGAATCGACTCGAAAGTGTCTACTTCTTTAAGAGTCTAGTGTCTGTAAGTTTTCAGCTTATTTTAATATTTCCTCTGTTTGTTTTCAAGTTCTGTTATTTTGTTATTCTGGCAAAACTTCTTTGTGATCCCCAGTCAGCGATCCCCCGTTTCCGCCACTTTTTGGTATCAGAGCTATGTTGGGGTAAAACCTCTTTAGTATTCTGAGGAATCCGACTAGGGATTTTGATAAATTGATTTGCCCAGCTCTCTCATATTATTTAATTGCTTTTTATATGCTTTGAACTATGATTTGGATCATATGATTTTA